ATATTAATATTAAAATATTATTATAATATTTAATTATAAATCCAAACAAAATAACAGCACAATATAATTGAATTTCTATTACGAAGAATTATATTATTTTTGAAAATAATTAAATTCTTGAGACAAATTTTATTAAAATTTATTTTTAAATAATTGAATTATTTTGTGAAATTTTTATTATTTACGAAAATAATGAAATGTTTGCGTAGAATTTTATTAAATTTTTTTTAGCTAATTGGATTCTTTTGGGAATGTTTATTAAAGTAGTAGATGTTAAAAATCATTAAGTTGAGGAAATTTTTTGAAAATAATTAAAATTTTGCCAAGATTTTTATTAAAATTATGGAACATAATTGAATTTCTGAGAAAAATTTTACTACTTTTGAAAATACTTGTATTTCTGCAATGTAATTGCTTCAAAATTCAAAATTATTTTGTTTTAATGTTTTTAACTGAAATTCTTTTATAAATCCATTACTTTTAATAATCAATGAAATATTTATTTAAAAATTTAACTAACTTCAGGAGAATTTTAGTTTACTAAAATTTTTCTAAATTTTTAATTAAATTCATTTAAAATTGAAATTGTATAAAATTTCAAATTAAAATCTTTTCAAGTTTATCTACTTATGAAAATTGTAAACGCAATTCTTTTAAAATTGAATTAATTTTGAAATATTTGGGTGAAATTAGATTTCAAGAATAAATTTTAGAAAACAACAATTTTCCAGGATTTCGATCAAAATTCCCTGACTTTTCCAGGTTTTTTCAAGGTTTATAAAATTCCCTGACATTTCCAGGTTTTCCAGGTTGCTTGGCAACCCTTAAATTATAACCAAATCTAAGCTAATTTCTAAGCTACGATTTACCAAGTCGATTTAGTAGCAAAATGCTCACTAATTTAGTAAAAAAAAATATAATTTTTCAAAAAAATGAGATTTTTTCACGTTAAATTTTAAGGCCAATAACAACATTTAAGGAGGGTAACCACAAGGGTTGAATATAATTTTGTGAAAAACTCGCCTACATAGGGCACTTAAACACGGCGACGTAAATACGCGAAGTGGATGGAAAGTGTCGCGAGTTCGCGAGGCAAGCAAATATGGGTCAAACCTGCTTTGGCAGAAGAGAGCAGAGTCTCTCTTTTTTCCTCTCTCTCCCCCCTCGCGCCCGTCCCTTTTTATCCCTAAGTCTATCTTTTTCTTTCTCATTTTCTCATTATAACAAGAAAGCGAGGATAAATGCGAAGAGCGAATCACGAAACAATGAAGAAAAGCGAACTTCACTATATGACGTACGTGTATTTAACTTAACCCTTTGCGAAATTTAAACTTTTATATTTAAAGTCACGAATCACGAATGTTTTTTGGTTTTCATACCTTTTGTTTCTCCAAAGTATTTTTATTAAAACATTCCCATTTTCCAGATGCTCTGATAGTGTTTTATTCGGGAAATTCATTTCCACTAGTCTCTTTTTGTAAATAACCTCGTTTTCTATATTATATTTGAGGGAATAAAAACTGAAGAGAAAATAAATGCTAGAAGTACGTCGCATTAATCTCCGCTTATTGGATGGCATTCGTTAGAGAAATGTCGCTAACGTGCGTAATCGTATAATTTCTTACTTTTGATCAAATATGATCAAATGTGTTTGTTAAGACCACTTTATTCTGGTATAATTAAATGCTTGTAAGTAATGCAAAGTAAAAGGCATGTGATACAAAATTACTAGAGAACACGTAACTCGCATTTTTCTGCCTCTGGAGAAGATTTTACAGACTCGCGGTACTCAATTTTTAAATCCGTAATGAAATCCAAGTTGTAAAAAAATAAAAAAGAGAATATCTCTAGAAAGAACACATGGTACTCTTTATAAAACTTGTCGCCTCTTTAAAGTTTCATTTTTTCCCCTTTTTTTCTTTCTTCATTCAGAACTTAAGAAAGGAAAAATTTCTGTGAGTGTGGGTGTGTATAAAATGTGCTACATTTTTTACAAGTACGTCCCTGTTTTCTTATATTACGTAATTGCATATAATTTATATCTTAATTTTTTATAAAATGTACACATTTAGAAATAATGTTCTTGAAAGTTAGGCACTGTAAAAAATATATATGTTACTTTCAGCCCTCTTTTGATTAAAACCGTTTACAACAAGAACGTTTAAAACCATTCTTGACTGAATTTTAGCATTGAGAGCTACTTTCTAAAGAAATAGTAAAAATGCTTGCTAATTTAAATTAGTGGCTGACTTTTTGCTGATAAATTAGTAAATTTTACTTATTTATTAGTAGAAATTATTATTTATTAGAAAAATTTAGTAATTCAGTAAATTTTATTAAAAAACTAGTAGAAATTACTATTTATTAGTCAAATAAACAAATTCAGTAAATTTTATTTAAAAAACTAGTAGAAATTACTATTTATTAGTAAAATTTACAAATTCAGTAATTTTTATTAAAAAAACTAGTAGAAATAACTATTTGTTAAGAAAATTAACTAATTCAGGTCTCGGATCTACTTCAAGGCGATTAAAGATACAAGAAAAATCATAAATGCCATTTAATTAATTCAGAGTTGTTATAGAAATTTTATTTTCCCTGAGCTTTCACTGATGTAAAAATTCAATTAGTAAAACTTAAATAATTTTGTTAATAAAAAATTTAAATACTTATTTCTTTTTTCAAGAGAAATAAAATTAAAAAATTTTAAAATTTAGTACCACCTGAAATTTCTGAATTTCTAAAAATTATAACTATAACCATTCCAAAATTCAATTATTTTCTACAATTTTTAAATAAACTTCATCTCTAAATCAATTACTTTTAATAATTTTCAGAAAATTCTTAGATAATTCATTTATTTAAATACAAAAATTCATTTTTTTGTAACAATTGTAATTGTTATTTAGTTTGCATTTATTTGAATTTTTAGAAATATGTAATTAAAAATAATTAAATTTTAAAAAACTAGATTGACAAAATTCCAAGAATTACTTTTTTCAAAAATATTTTAATATAACTTTTAGAAGTTAATTTGTCATGAATTTTCATTTTTAAATTTACAATCGAAAATTTTTCATTAAAATTTTTGAGAATTCGATTCTTTTCATAATTTTCAATTAAAATTCTTCAACAATTCTTTAATTATAGGTACCTAAATTAAAAGAATTTAATTATCTTAAAAAATTATTCAAAATTATTTTTTGAAAGATTTGTCATTAGTTATTTTCCTCATTATAAAAATCGAAATAATTTATATTTTATATTAAAAATGTGGTATTTTGTTACAATATTTGAAGGAAAAGTCGAAAAAGTAATTTTTGAAAATAAGTCGAAAAAAGTAATATTATCCTAAATCCAAAATCCAATTAATTTCTGCAATTTTGAACGAAAATTCATCTCTAAATCAATTATTTTTGACAATTTTCCAAAAGTGCTTCGTGAATTCCATTATATAAATAAAAAAATTCAATTATTTATAATTGTAACTGTCGCGGGATCTTTTGTTGTAAATAAAATAAATAAACTGTCGACGTTTTTTTAAAAGTTAATAAGGTATAATACTTGTAAAAATTATGTGAAAATAAATTCTTACAATTAATTTTTGAAAAATATTTTAAAATAATTTTTGAAAAATTAATAGTTTTTTAATCATATCCAATTTAAAAATTTCCAAAGAATTGAAATTTGATAAAATCTTTTAAAAATAATTGAATGTTTGAAAAATATAAAAAAATAATCATTATTGTTTAATTGTATTAAATATAATATTATTCCAAAATAATTTGTGAAAGATTTGTCTCTATAGTTATTTTTCACACTGTAAAATTCGAAATGAGTTGCAATTTATACTAAAAATGTGAAATTTTGTTGCAATATTTGGAGAAAAAGTCGAAAAAGTCGCGAATTTTGAAAATAAGTCGAAAAAAGTTATAATATCCGAAAACTGTCAATGTATTTCAAAATTTAGAAAATAGTCTAAAACTTAATTAAGTTACTAAACTAAATCTATTTTCAGCTTAAAAATAAGTTAATTTTCATTTATTTTGGATTTAAGATGTAAACGGTGTCAGACTTTGCTTTTTCTGCGCATAAATTATAAAAAAGTGCTAGGGGAACTTTCAGAAATAATGTCACGTTTTTAAGGGCGGTTGGAGGGGGTCCTTATCAAACTTCACATAATGTATTTATTCCATGTAACAGTCAGTAAAATTTCCATGACACATGATTTAACAGCTCACAGTTTTTCTGCAGATATCAAATTAAAACAAAAAACGAATCAAAACTGTTGCGAAGCTACATTTTGATTCGTTTTTTGTCTCAATTTGATATCCGTAGAAAAAATGAAATTAAAGCCGATTAACTTTTTTTTCACACTGAATCGTATTCCAACTACTATTGTTTATAATAAAAGACTTTTAACGACCAACTTTTATAGTTTAAATACATATATGTCCGGAGAATAAACTCCAGAAACATGTATGAGAAAATTATTCCCCTCTCATAAAGAGAAACAACTCTGGAAAATATTCTTTCACTTAGACTTTTGACGTCAGGAAGAGTATAAAGCGACACGCCAGGACCAATAAAAGAAAGCTTTGTACACATATATAAATTTCAACAAGACTCTGACAATGTGTCAACTCTTTACTTTTATGTACACATATTTTTCACGGAAATTATTATACTTTCAAAAATTTATTGATTTATCATTCGAGAAATTTGCCTCAAGTCTTGTGCTCTCTCTAAATTTAAATTTAGTGAAAATTTCGCGCACTCGTTTTCCAATGAAATTTCTCACTGAATAAAAATGTGGGAAGTGAGGGTGAAGAAAGAAGAAGGAGAAGAAGAAGAGTCGAGAAATATTCAAATTTAGAGAATGCAATTTTATAATGGAAAATGAAGGTATTTAATAAAAGGAAAAAAGATGTGCTCGTCAGGAGTGAAGATGTGAGGAAAGGAGAGTAAAAATAAAAATGTAAAATAAATGTTGGACTGACCTTGCAGTGGGTGCAATTGTGGATGACCGAGTACGATTGCCCGCAGTCGTATCGCGCCAATACCTCCTCAAACTCGCAGTGTAACCTGGCGGCGAGGGCATCGACTAGAAGTAGTTTATCCAAGGCATCAACGCATTTTTTGCCCCCATTCAAAACATCTTCAAGCGGGCCATCCTTGCCAGGCGTCAGGGCGTTAACCACCGCGTGCTCGCAGCAATGCCGTAGACGCAGGCCACTCGTGAACCAATATCGATTCTCCCTCGGGGTTAAAAAACTCAGCGGACTACCCCGACCAAAATCATCCCGACAGATGTCTCTCTTATGCGACTCCTCAAGGTAAAAAAGGCACTGTTCCGGAGCCATCCCCTTGCCAGGACTCGTGTCCGCTCGCGACTTCCTGCCCGACCTCGATTTCCTCCTCTTAATTTTATCGCTGAGCCTCTCAATGACTTCGCGAAAGGCAGCGTTGCTATCACCCGGTGACGTCGGCCTACAGGGGTACGGACAATACTTGGGCACCTCCGGGGGACCACAACTGCCCAGGAGATCGGCTGGAGCCGGACCCGCTAGATCGCACGCCGACAGCCACGGGTTAATCTGGTTCACCTCCCAAGCATATTCGTTGTAAGGGTGGGCTCTCTGCCGCTCCTGGACAATCTGCTGACCTTGCCGCAAATTGTTGCTCGGGGTGTACTGGTGAACCGTGAATGAGCCGTTGCGCTGCGTGTAGTCTTCATTGCGCGAGAGGGGCGACTTTTGCGCCAAGGCCGAAGAGACCTGAGCCGAGGGATTCGTAGAGCACAACAGGGGCAACACCATAAGGAACAAGATGAAAAACAACGCGTTGCCCTTGCCCAGAATTCCCAAGGAAGAATTGCTTCTTTTTGCTTTTCGAGTTTTAGAGAAAAAAGGATTGGTATCCTTGAAGAGGGAAAGTTTACTTTCACGACATTCGTGAATAGTTGACTTTGAGAGTAGGGCAGTGTAGGGGTTTCTTTTGTTCTTGTTTCTTCTCCTGCTCTTAAACAAGTAGTCACTTTTGTCGTTTCTAAAGTCATCAGTGCTCGAGTCTTTGTCTTTATAACAACAGTGAGACCGTGAAGGGGTCTTTTTCCTCTTGCTTTTAATACGTGAAAAATTCTCGTCGCGAGCATCAGTCTCGTTGAAAAATCTCTCGACCCTCGTTTCACTCGCGATAGTTCTTGTGGACTTGAAGGCATCGATGAAGTATTCACCTGGCAAGACGACGCACGTGGTTGTTTCAGATAGATTATTATTGACACAGCTTGATCTCGCAATTTTCGTCTGTAGGGTCTCTTGATCGTATTCTTCCTGAGTATCAATCGGATTTTTGAAATTTGGTACTTGTGTTTGGTCACTATTGACATGATTCGCGTCGTGGTCGCCGTTATCGTCGTTAATAAAGGCAGTGTAAGCAAGCACATTGTTAGGAGGTAAGCCCAACAACTTGAGTTTTGCATCTGTCGATGTGTCCACAATGGATGACTTTCGGAGAATTTTTCTTCTCTTGATAACCCACTGTTTCTGAAAATATGGATGATAGCGTTGACACGAATATGGGTTTCCGGTGGAGAACAGTGACACTTTGTTTCGGAGAGTCTGATCCGCATTGTCGATGTGAGAAAATGTGGAAAGGTTATCAGTCTCAGCAATAGGTCCGGCTGTGGGTTGTTGATCGCTTTTATTGGAGTTGTAATTGGATCCTTGGTGCTTGATAAATTGAATGTTTTGAGAGCAAGAGTGTGAAATTCGAGAATTTTGTTGAAAGAAGTGATTGAGGGGAGATAATTCGAGTTTGCTTGAAGAATGTTCAGCCTGTGGTGCCGCTGGCTTGCTTTCGCTGGTAGTGGGTGGTCCCGAAACACGGGGCGGGTCGAGTCGCATGGGCATGAGATCGGGGACTCTTTCGAGGTCCCCACGTCGTTGTCGTCGACGCTCCTCGACGAGGACCGCCGACCGAAGGCGCAACTTTCGTTTTTCCTGGTGATCCCACTTTGTGACTCCGCGGGGGGTCCAAGGAACACCGCTCGGTGATGAGGAGTAAATCTCCAAGTGCAAATGGAGAGGCTGTGCGTTTTGTGATCGCGTATGCCGTGCTGCGGGAGGCCCCGCATCGCTGCCAGGAAGGCTTGAGCCCGCCTTTCGCCTCACGCGTACGCTGCTGGCTTTCGCCTTGAAGCCGCTCTTGACGGCCCTGTACCTCACCAAAACACGGTACTGATTCCGATAACTGATAGTGCTGGAGCCTCTTATTTCTAATTTCTGACAGTGAGTTTTCCCGAGTTTCGTTGAGCCCCTGATGACGGATCTGGCATTGGTTCTCCCCTGATGGTGCTTGAGTCGCTTCCTCGAACAACTTGGTTCTGTTGCAGTGTGAAGCCAGGTCGACGATCCAGAGAAAGGGTCGTCTGACTCGCCCGCCGGCGGCTCTCCTTTCAACGGAATCAGCCCCGCTCGTGCGTGTCCCGGGCCGATGGACCAGGAGCCTGCCTGTACGGTCCGGGTTGGCGGGGCCCTTAGAAGTTCCCCTGGGCCAGCGATGCACAAGCGACAGCTCGCTGTTGCTGCTGTAGGTGTGACAGCAGCACCCACGAACTCTCGTCCTCTTCGACCACCCTCTCCCGGTAGTAGTGCCTGCCACTGGACACCTGCTCCTCTTGCTGCACGTAGTCCCCCTGCCGAGACTCGCGAGCTTCCACAACAGGACACTGAGGTTCATGCTGCATCATGAACACGCGGCAGGACCACCACGCTCTATCACTTCGTCACCGTCGATTATCACAATCGCCGAACGACGCACGACCACGATGATGATGATGATGATGATGAGGATGATAACCGTGTATCCGTCGAACCTCGGACCCGATCGCGACACCCCATGGACACACCCTTGAACGGATGTGACGAGGTCACGTCCCTTCTAACCTGTCAGCACGTCACGCTATGTAGGTCGTATCACGACAGGGTCGAGCACGCACTACTACGCGATACGAAAGTGAGGTTAAGTATTAGCACTCGCGACTCGAGGACGGCACCGTGTTACGACATAACCGCGCGCGCGCACCTTCGCGGCATTACTATAGGTCGTAGATTAATTCGACTTACTCAGACGAATCCATCTTCTACTTCGACCTTCATCGTAATGCTTTCCAATGATCTGATCAACTTTATTTCAACTTGTTACTCCCTGGAACATGAACCTCCTTCAAATTCCAACTGATCCTGCAGTTGTCACTTCTTACTTTCGAACGAGTCTTCTCACCACCTTGCACTGATACAACATACACTCACTCGATTGCACACCTCAGTCACTTAATTCACGAATCTTGCCGAATCATCACAAAGTCATCTCATTTCCATTATTTTCTTCTCTCGTAATCAAAAACTTTTCAACAGCTTACTCTACAACTGACACTCTAAATTTTTTCTAATAAAATAAATCTATTCAACAGTAACAGACATAGCTATCATCAATTTTCTTAATTCCACTGATACTCAATGACTAATCCCTCCTTATCCGTTAATCCTGCATTATCCCTTTGATTTACATCTTACTTGCCGGGGATGTACACTCTTGTTCAATCAAACTGCTTACAGTACATTGACAGTACCACAAACTAGAACCAAAATTCAAACCGAAAATCACTTTGCGAAAAATTGACTGATAGATATAGAGAAGGAGAGAGCGAGAGAGCGAGAGAGAGAGAGAGAGAGACAGAGAAAAAGGGACAAAGATACACTTTACTTTTTGGAAATCGATTTGTATTTAGGGTTTGTCTGCAAACGCAAAACAGACACCTAGACAGAAGAACGAGATATCCACGACGGGGAAAAATGACATGAAAAGTCGTGGATTTTTGCAGGTGTCACGAACCGCCGGTCGTTCTTCGAACCGTCAGTGGAGGACGGGCGTCGCGAGGTCCGCCATCTTCGTTTTTGCCGCTCCCCGCCCGGGCAACCCAACGCCTCCACCCCAGCGCTCTTCTGCACTACACCACCACTCTTCACTTCCTATATCTCTCTCCACCCCCGATTTTCTCGCGCAGCCCGTCCGTTCTACCCTTTCCGTTCACGGCAACCTTGTCGCCCCTGTCTCCTCGTCGACGTTCCTCCAACTCTTTACTTCCCCATCTATCTGCTGGACCACCGTCCCCCTAACCACCCCTTTGCTACTCTCAGCTTGATACTTCTCCTCTCAACGCGTTACTCGAGAAAAACCGGCAGAACCGTCGATCCACTGCACACTATGGATTCGTGGCCTGATTAATTTTAAGTCCCGGACCATTTCTCAGTAATCCACCGCAATCATCACCAAACACAAAAATTTTATTTCCCCTCTCAAACAATCAAATTCTTGACTAATTCTAAACAACGCCAAACACGTGTTTGTTGCCTACTGAGATGTTTGCTACATTCGACCAAGAGCCTTCTCGAAATTTAGAAGTAGATGACAATGTACCAAAAGGTATCCCTTATTTCTTTTCGAAAAATCAATTCAAAACGAATTGCTTAAAATTCCCTTTATGTAAATAAACCCATTAATATTGCCAAAATTTCCAGCTGTCATAAAATCCAAGACTCTCCTCTTCTCTCCGCCAAAAAAGAGAGAGAAACAGGATCTACCCTGCCAGAAAGAACCTTAACCTACTGAACCTTAAGCCATGGTTTTCAACATGTCTGGAGCAGTGAACTCCTACATTTAAGAAAAAATTCAAATTTTCCCCTGCCGCGCTTTAATGGACGCAAGCGCTTCGCTATTATTTGAGAGCGGAGGCGACACTCCACGGATATTTTGAAAAGGTGTCCATCCCACACCCTCATAGTGCGTATGCTGTCGCGTTTGGGGTTGAAATAAGGGATGCGCATGACCGAGATGAAGGAAATTTTAGCGAATCGATTATTTGCAACCAGCTGCAGCAGCAGCGGGTTAGTCACGCGGCGGCCTGTCCGTCAGCTTATCTGGTTGCTACTCGTTGAGCAACCTAAGACAATAACTTTGCTACTTGTCCTCAAATTACTTTAAAGCAACAACAGACACCTTCCAGATGCCATTAGATTCCTTTAAACCTCAGCTTTTCGAGAAGACGTTCATATATCACACATTCATTATATTAAATCTCTAAATCTCTAAATTTTCTTCGTATCACCGAAAAAATTATCATTATGATTCAAAAATAATTTTTATAATTAATATTTGCATCTAGTAGGAAGAAATGCAAAATACTAGGGCGCAACTATTCTGCGGATATCAAATTGAGACAAAAAAACGAATCAAAAATGTTGCTTCGCAACACTTTTGATTCGTGTTTTTTGTCTCAATTTGATATCTGCAGAGAAAATGCTATGAAGTTTTGAGGATATTTTGATACTTGCAAGAAGCTTATGCTTCAGACTTATTTAGGTTACCACGCACTACAAGCATGCATGTCAGCTGATCATATGATAGATTTAGAGAAAGCTGGCTAAACGTTAATAATGTTATTCATCAGAAATTAATTCGACTTACCCAGTCAAGAATTCGTACAAATTTAAATGGAAACACTTTCTTGGTGGTATTGAAGAACAGTCCACTTGCCTTATGGCCAATCCGAACCTCTTTTGTAGATGACACTTTTGTACCCATCATCCTGTCCGACTAGTCTGAAACAGATGAACAATATTAAATATTAGGAAAATCATTTAGAATAGTGGTGAAATTCTTTTTATGAAACCTCCCATACAGCATCGAAACTTTTCTAAAGGTTGAAATTAGCTTGACTTAGGAATCTTAGGATCTTAGGAATCTTTAGTTACGAAGCTCATTAAAGTTGAAGTCATTCTTTAAATTTCGACTGTTTTTCAATTTTAGACGCGAAAGTTGACTGAACATTGCTGAAGATTTTTTAATTTCTTAAACTCTCGTGCAATGTTCAGTCGACTTTCACGTCAAACATTGAATAACATCGGGAATTTAAAGAACAACTTTGAATTTCATGAGCTTCGCAACTAAAGATTCCGAAGGTTGCAGTCAAGTTAATTTAAAGTTTCAGGAAATTTTCGACGCTGTGTGGGCTGTTTAATTTATTGAACACTATTTTTAACTACTAATCAAAAGTAATGCGTACAGCATCACTATATCAACTTTTTCGACTATCCACTTATATAGCACAGAAAATCGTTAAAGATTCGATTCCCCCCAGAGTTGGAAATTTTATTTTCGACCTCGTTTTCGACAAATATTGTTATTAATAATCGAATTGTTAATTCGAAAATCTCTTAAAGATATTATGACACTTCTAGTTAAGAACTCAAAAGAAACAAACTGAGTGTTACATAAAAATGATAATTTCGATAAAGTACAGAACGAGTATTAATTGGCTCGTTCAATATAAATTGAATTGAACAATTGAAATATTGGAAATAAATTTGCTGTAAAGTAAATGAAGTGCGTTATCTGAAAGTATATAGGTGTATTATATATATGGAACGACAAATTACCTTAGGTACAGGGTTCGTTGGTCATAGATATAGGTCACCCAATCCCATATGTCAATGTGTCATGGTATCAACAGCAATTGACGACATTTCTGTGTCTGTGTGTATGGTAAAATAAACAATTAGACAGATGTGTAGATGTCCAATACACTTGCAGATACGTCTCAAACATTACGCTTGCAAATGATCAACAGATCTTGCCTCTCATCCCTTTTGCTTTTAAGCAAGCGGCTATAGTCGTGGTTTCTCTGTGATTGATATATACATATTAGATATAGTCGTGTATACTGTAAATCAACAACAGTAGCTGATTATTGACACCTTATAAAGAAAACATATTTATCATTATAAAATAGTTTCCACTTTTAGAATAGTTTCAATTATTACACTTTTCGAATAGTTGAAACTATTCCACTTTTTGAATAGTTTTCAATATTCCACTTTTTCAAAAAGTATATAGTATTATAAAGAAAAATTACATTACGTGGAAAAGCTGTTAAAAAAATTTGCGGTTAAATAAAAAATGCTTCGATATAAAAATTCGGTTCAATATATATTTTACTTGATAAAATTCCGTTAAAGAGAAAATCCATCTTTATGAATTTCAAAACAATGAAACTCGAACAAGGGAATAAATTTGGTTTACATTTTTTTCTTTCTCCATCAAACACAGATGCTATTAGTGAGGCAAAATTAATAAACATCAACTATACTATACTATCATGATGAATCTAATTGCGAAAATGGATTATTACACTTGCGGATATTAAAGATTTAATGGATTGAGAGTGCAACAATGGACAGTCATCGGAGTGCGATTTTCAACATTGGTATTATAGGTACTGTGGCCATTAATAAATTTTTTATTTTTTTAGGTTCTGGACATTAAATATTTTTTCCGGTTAATTTGATTTTTCAGAATTTTAATTATAATTATAAATTTAATTACTCAATAAATACTAATTAAATTTTCAATGTTTTTATGTTAATAATCGCAGGTCTCGGATCAAAAAGTCGAAAAAAATGTATACAAAAAAGGCGAAAAAGTCCTTTTTGTCACGAAAAATCCATTTTGTATTTTCTGGTTTCCAAATTCAATTATTCAAAATTTCAATAATTTTGTTAAATTAAATATTTTAAGTGATAAATTCATAAACTTATACAAATATTTAAATTTTAAATACTTGTAATTTATATTTCCACAGGAATTAAAAGTATATTATATATATTTTTATAAATAATTACAATGTAGGAATTTTTTTTCTAGTTTTAAGAAGGGGAAGTTTTTAGTTCCCCTCACGGGATACGGAATTGATAATCGCCCGCAACAATATACATAAAAGACAAAAGAATGAATAGAAGGGATTAGGCGAAACGGATAAAGCCAAAATTGAGCTATCATACCATTTCAATCTGCATATTAGACCAACAATTTTCTTTCATATATATTATATCCAGAGCATTACAATATGTTACGTCACTGTCATGAAATTTTTATTGAAAAAAAAAATTAAAAACATAATTTATACTATTGAAGAAGTCATTGGAGAATTACATAATACCAATAGGTGGGGAACAAGAGGAGAGAGTCAGAACTATTCTTTGTCGTATTATGTTGCAAATTTATACGTAACATTTTTCAGATTTTATACAAACATATATTTAAATGGGTACCAGATATAATGTTATATAAGTATATAGTGAAATATGTTTAACAAAAACGTGAATAATTTCATTTTGCATATTATTAATAATTAAACAATTATTTTTTTTTTTACTTTTTTTTATTTTTTATAATTTCGGTATATTTTAAAGAATCTTAATTTTTATCAAATTTGCTTAGACCTAAGGCCACAATTAACAAACAGTATTATTTTTCATATAAATTGCACACCATATATGGAGTATTTTATTTAATGGGAAAAATATACAAGGTGTTTGACAAAAATATTTTTTAATTAATATGTAATTAAATTCGTAATACTCAAGTTGTAAATATTATATGTTATGTTTGGAATATTGCGTCGTTAAAAAGACTTTAAATAAATTTTTCATTACTTGTCATTTACTGTTAATAAACAATGAAAGATTCTCAACTTGATAGTAAAGTATTATTTACAAAATATCTTTTATATAATATAATATATAATAAAAATGATAATAATAATAATAATTTCAATATATCTATAAAACAATGCACACTAATGAAACTCAACTAATTATTATGGTTTGATTCAGTATGACGAGATTTCATATCCAATAAATTATTTTTATGTTATAAGTGAAATAAATCACTTAGTTAACTATACACTATATTTAGTATGCCACGTAAATTATAGACCATAACATCAAAATTATGTTATATATTTATAATACAAAATTCTAAATGGAATATAATTATTAGAGAATTTTTCACTATTTCGTTAAAGTATTTTTTTATTTTAGAATTAAAAAATTTTTAATGTAAAAAACAGTTTATTTTTTTAACTTGATTTTATTCTATGAAATTGATAAAAATAGACAAAAAATTAATTAATTTCATACAAATAAAATAATTTTTAATTCTAATTAATTTAATTAAAAAAATAAAAAATAAAAATTTTAATTCTAAAAATAAAAATATGTCTTCCAAAAATCGAAAAAATAATTTATTAAATAATTGTGTAAGAATTTACTAAACATTGAATTAAAAATAAAAATGTTTGTATGTGAATAATGTTAACAAAAAAAATTATTATTGATAGTGTGACAATATTTTAAATTTGTTTCTTTCCCGCGCATTTTATCAGGTGTGCCAACATAAATAAGGTAGTCCAAGTTGGGTGGGGGAAATGCAATATGGCTGACATCAGCTGATTTACCGGAGGACAAACAATGCATTGAATTCAATGGGACAAATCAGTTTTTTAACCATAACTTTTTAAATATTCATTTTTGAACCATAGTGTAATGGAAAATTATTCTTTATTTATCGAAATCTATTTTTTAAAACAATAAAATAAAATTTTTTGGTTTTATTGTTTTAAAAAATAGATTTCGATAAATAAAGAATAATTTTCCATTACACTATGGTTCAAAAATGAATATTTAAAAAGTTATGGTTAAAAAACTGATTTGTCCCATTGAATTCAATGCATTGTTTGTCCTCCGGTAAATCAGCTGATGTCAGCCATATTGAATTTCCCCCACCCAACTTGGACTACCTTATCTGCGAAGTTGATATGCGCAGAAAACTGTTTTTTATCTGTCACGAGATGTTACCAAAACATGGCGTCTGTTGTAAAAGGTGTGAACAAGTAGTTTTTAAATCATTTATTTTATATCATTATTCTTTCATGTAATTTAACTTTAGATTCATTTCATAGTGCTCTCTAACAATTGATAATTAACATATTTTTTCCGTGAATGTGATTTTACTCTTTTTAATAGACGTTGGTGAAATTTGGACACGGCTTTTTGATCATCGATCGTTCATTCAAGGAGAAGTTTCATTTTTCTTAAGAGAATATCAGGTAGAAATAAAATAATTTATTTATTTTTCTTATTTGCAAAATGTTTTAAAATTATTGTATATTATTTCGGCAGTTGTATTTTCACAAATCACATTTGTAGGTTAGATTTTTATGGTTTGTTCTATTTTCATCTTTTACAGTACTTGCAGTACTTCAATAACTGAAATCTATTATTTATTATTATTTTATGAGTTAAATTTGAATTTTATGAAAATATTTAATTTTTTGATTTTGTAAATGTTAAATTTTATAAATATCAGAATTTATAAACACTCCTCTAAAATTATTTTTTGTATTTTTAAAGTACAAACTGTGGATTACAGATTGTTTTATCATTTCGATGTTTACAGGATTTAATAAATTTTAATGTGCGATAAATTTGTAGAATTAAAAAAATAACATAACGTGAAAATTTAAGACAATGAATAAAGTAGAAAATTTTGCATTGCAATTTTTTTTTAAAGAGTAATAAAAGAAAAAACATTTTATTTTTGTTCTCTCAAATTTGTAACCTTTGATGAACAATTAGAATATATTTCTTTTTGGTACTCAGGACAAAAGAAATGACAGAGAAGTGGAACGTCTCTTTGAAATTATAGAGCATTCAACCGATATTGATCAAAGCCAGTTGGATAGAACAATAGAACTTGGCAATTCTCAGTTACCCAATTTAAAAGTAAATGTCGATAAAGCACTTGGTATGTGTGAACGAGTTCTTCAGAAAGAAGGGAAAATAAATAATGTACGTAAATTATTTTTAATACCCTCTTAACTTGATTACTAACTTGATTTTTTTCACATTATTAAAGAACTGTAATAATTTTCAGGAAAGTGAATTAACCGAAAACAGAGAACTCCGAAAATTGAAATGGCAAGAGTTTATCAATGAAATGAAGGATAAATGTCAAAAAGTGGACGAAGAATTTATCGAGAAAGAAAACGAATTAAAGGAATACTATTTGGATCTAGAAAGGAAGTTACATCTTTCGCCATAATTATCTCCTCTGCCATATCTACTTTCATAGGTAGTCGAAAAACTTAAGCCTAGCTTATTTTTCCCCTTTTTATTCTTTCTGGTTTTTTTTTTGCTTGTGAAAATTAGTTTCCTTCTTTTAATTTTCATTGCATTAAAAATATCACACTTAGAATGTTTGTCGAACCAATCAAAGATCACACTGTAAAAATAAAACCGACTACTAGACTTATTGAATTCGTCGCAAAGCAGGTGAAGAAAAAGAATGAGGTGCCTGAAAATATAATTGCATTGAAAAGTTACGGCAAACGACAAGAAACATTCCTCACTTTAAAGGACGTAAAGTGGCTGAATTCTTATTTAGAAAAATATCGAGAGTCGTCTGACGAGAAAGTTTATTTACATGAACTTTTGGAAACTGCTGATGTTTGCTTACCAACGCCTCCAGTAAAACCTAAAAATCCAGAACTAGTGGCACGATTAATAAAACTTCAGGCACAGCAAAATGCCAGGGATTATGCGTCAATGACCAAAGGTGTAAATCCATATAAGAAAATTTTTCCTGAAGATTCGATAGCTGCGCAAAGTAAGATCCACTTAACCTATAAGTATTTTTACAGGGTTACCACGCTTTTGTTCTTTTCAAATTTTTTTGAACTTTTTGACTTTTCCAGGTTAAAAAACGGAATTTTTCCTGATTTTTAAAACGAAAATTATTCGAAAACATCAATAACTTCATTTTTAAATAAATATTTAATTATTATTTTTTCATAGATATAGATGTTAAGATTTTCGAAAATTTGAAATTCAATAACAAGGATATTTTTATAAAACATGAAGAATCGCTTTCTTCATGTTTCATAATAATTAAATTCAATTATTTAAATAAATAATAAATAACTTATTGAATAATTGAATATTTCTTAAAATCGAATTCTTTTTCAGAATTTTAATAAAACTTTCAATAATAATTGCATTTTTCAAAGAATTCATTTAAAATTGTATATTAAAAATAATTGAATTAGGTAAATTTTTTATTCAATTCCTATGAAAATATTATTATTAATAAAACTAATAAGCAAAAATAAAAAATAATAAAATTTTTAAAAATTCAAATTCAATTATTTCGAAGAAAATTAAAGTTCGTACGAGGAATTTCATTAAACTGAAAATAATTGAATTCTAACAACAAATTTTGTTAAACTTTTAAAGATAATGCAAAAATTATTTTCATCATTACGATTATTTATTTCTAGAATTTTCAACTAAAATTCTTCTTTAAGTCAACTTTTTTTTTAATAATTTTTGAAAAAGTTCTGTGTGAATTTTCAAATTCTTTTGATAATAATTTAATTTTACGAAATTTCGATTATTTTGACATTCTTTAATTAAATATAATTATTAGAAATTAAAAACTTCAAATAATTCAAAAAAATTTCATAAAACTTTTTGAAAAAAATTAATTCTACAGAATTCTTAATTAAAAGTATGAAAAGTTCAAATTTTCAAAGATTTTAATTTGAAATTCATTTTTATATTTTTATTCAAAATTCTACGAGAATTTAATGATTTAACTACAAAAATAAATATTTTATTAAACATTTGAATGTTTCTAAAATTGAATTTTCATAAAGAATTTTTGTCAACAAATTTTTAAATAATTGAATTCTCTTGACAAATTTCTTTGATAAATTTTAATAAAATTTTTAAGAATAATTACATTTTTTGAGAAATTCCATTAAAATTTTATTAAAAATAATTGAAATTCAGAATTGAATTTTATTATTTATGAAAATAATTGAATTATTTTCGTAAATAATAACATTTTTACAGGGATTCAATTATTTTCATAAATAATAAAACTCAATTCAATTATAAATAATTGAAAAATTAAATTTCAATTATAAAATAATGAATTATGATAATAATTTGTAAATAATTGAATTCATGAGAAATTTTTATTATTTATGAAAATAATTAAATGTTTGCGTATAATCTTATTAAAATTGTTTTTAAATAATTGAATTCTTTTGGATAATTTTATTCAAATAGTAGATATTAAAAATCATTGAAATGAGAAAAATTTTTGAAAATAATTGAAATTTTGACAAGAATTTTATAAAAATTATTAAAAATAATTGAATTTTGAAGAATTTTTTTATTTATAAAGAAAATTATTTGGGATTTTGTCGAGATTTTTTTGTAAATTTTGAAAATAATTGAATTTCTGAGAAGAATTTTACTACTTTTGAAAATAGGTACTTGAAAAATAATTATGAAAATTGTAAACGCAATTCTTTTAAAATTGAATTAATTTTGAAATATTTAAGTAAAATTAGATTTCAAGAATCAACACAATATCTTTAGAAAACAAGAATTTTCTGCAGGATTTCGATCAAAATTCCCCGATTTTTCCAGGCTTTTTCAAGGTTTATAAAATTCTCTAACATTTCCAGGTTTTTCAGTTTGCGTGGCAACCCTGATTTATCATGAAACACGAAATAATTATCTAATATAATATTTGTGTATTTGTTTTAGTCAAAGAAATGAACAAGCAACTTATAGCAGTGGCCCAGTTCGTTCTCTCCGTCATGGCTGGGTTCGCCTTCGGTTTCATTGGCGTGGAATTAATTGTCGGAGATTTGGATTTTGGTTTTCGATTATTACTGGGAATTATGATTTCTCTAATAATTGCATTAGCGGAAATTTATTTCCTAGCGAAAAAGCTAAGTGAAGATGTATATGATTATCCGGAGGGTACTAGTGGAAAAGTACATCAAGATTGAAATCATAAATATTCATAAATCTACTTAAGAAAAATGTAGTAATTTAAAACTGTCTTTGACATGTGTTCAAACCTATTTAATTTTTCTACGCTTAACAAAAAGTCTGTAAATAGCTTCATTACGAAACTAGAATTACATTATTCCTGTAAATAAACATGAAACTTGTCATGTCTTCAATTTTATATAAATGTAGATTCATTTAATCTTCTAATAAAAAAAATTATAATTCTCACATCAAGAGATAATAAACAATTTTAAAAAATTTATTTTATTTTCAAAATTATGATTCAAAAATTATCCATAAATAAGATTCTATAGTAATTGACATTTTGTATTATTTAAAAATTACATAGTCGTTGAGTGTCTTTAAAACGTTTGAAAATGGTTTGTTCGGTAAAATATAGAAAAATGTACTAAAAAAAGGAAGTTGTATTCACACTTGCCTATTTAAAAAAATGTCACTAGCTGTCGGTGGACGCTTTATTATCATTATCATTGTCCTCATCACTATCACTAGAACTGCTGTCATCGCTTTTATCACTGGATTCGCTTTTTCCGTTTGTTTTATTATCGTTGGACTTTGAAGAAGAATCGTCGGAATTTTCATCTTCACTGTCCGATGAAGAGGAACTGTCCGACTGACTATCGGAATCAGAATCTGACGAACTTACAGCATTTTTAGCTGCCATCATTTGTTTGAATTGACGAACTGTTATTTTCCTTGGCATTATTTCTCGGAGGAATTCTAAACAGTCATTTGTTTGCACGACTTCTGCCAGATGTTTATAATCTAAATTGTGGCCCTTCTTGGTTTGTAAATGTGCTTCTTCTGTTAGGTAATGAATAAACAATTCCTGAAAATTTTAAAAAATGATGACAACGTAAATAAAACGATTTTACATATCGAACAGAGTGTTTGTGTATTTGCACTTGTATTAAAGTAACTTTTGTTTCGCATGCGAAGAGCGAAAAAATTGATAACTTAAATTAATTTTTCCAATAAGTGGAAAAAAGGAAAGAAATTATTAACAAATTAAAAGTTAATTTGAATTTAACCGCGTTAACCGCCTTCTGTTTGTTGTGTAAAGTTCCTACACCGATTGCACTACAAATCAGTTGGGGTCATTAAAAGTTAATACAAGTTGTCGACTTACCGTAGCTTTTGTTACTAAAAATAGTCCATCTTGGCCGATTGCTTCGACGTAAGGTGAACTTTTCATAATCGTTCTTACTCGAGAAATAGGTAATCTTAACTCCTTGAGTTTTCCGGGTGATGCTTGCACGGCCATGTTTGTTTGGATTGTGTTTTGATCAGGGTTGGGCGCGTAAAATACCTCAGGTAAATTACATGGATTTTTACAGTAAAATACCTCGTATTTTACTTCAAAAGTTTTATACACAATGTATTTTTTGGGAGAGGGGGGTAAAATACGTATTTTACATATGTAAAAAACCAAGTATTTTACGTCAAAAACCTCGAGTGACGCGTCACTTCCCAACACTGGTTTTGATGTTTGACAGAGTCGACGGATAGTTTTAAATGCGGCTAATGTCACGGCAGTTCACTGCGCACTATTCTTGCGCACACTAAACTCCCGGTTTCTGACTTTCTTGCTAATATTCCTTCGTTTCTTCCTCTTTTTTCGTTATTTTAGAGTGACGTATTTATTTATTACTTAATCAGGTAAATTTGTGGATTTTTTTAAAAGACCACTTCTTTATTGCATACGTAATTCCAATGTGAAAACGAAGTATTATGAACGTAACAAAAGTAGTTTTTTCAAATAAAGAGATGATTGTCGCAATTGGTTGCCATTGCGCAAATACGTTCACGCATTCAAAATGGTCCGCTAGGTATCGAACTTGCACTTGTACTTTTTTTCTCAGAATTCCAAGGTAGCAGTAGCAGCACGACAGGAGAGCATCCGGTAGATAATTTTTGGACATTCCAAAGGAAAATTAGTTTTAAACTTAACCAAAATTCAAAGGTATTTACAAAATTGATTAAACTTCTTAGTTCTTAATATACAGTTGTATATAAAATTAGTATAAAGAACGAAAATCATTATTTCTCCTTGAGACTAGTTTGGTATTATTTTTTCTTTTTATTAAAAAAAAAGACTCCGATCAATATGGCACATGGTACATTTTAATACTTCTTTTTGTTAAAAAGAGACTTCCGACACTAAAATTCTTGCCAAAAAACAAAATTTAACAAGTTTATTTTTTTTTCTCCTTCCATTATTAAGTATGTATGTATTTGTTCCATTTGTTCTCTTTAAATTTTGTTAACCGTTATGTGAACATAACCTTATACAGTAAACCCATCTGTTTTCCGATTATTCCTATAGAAAAATTCTACGTTTAACTTCAATTTCTATTATCTCTAATACTAAAAAAATTCAGATATATTTGTCGATATTCATTGTCAAAAATATTTGTCAGATTTTATGTCAATAATTTAACATTCACGCTCTTGACGTATTTTCATTTATAGTTTAAAAGGTACAAATCTCTTTCGATATAAAATTGGAATAAAATTCAATTTTTCGAATACTTTATAAGGAAGTTGAAGTAATTAAATTTTGAAATATTATTTATGTTAACAATTTTTCTATTTACATAATGTCTTTCCCAATTATTAGTCACATACTTTATGACTTGTGACATTGAGAGGTCACTTTTAGGATTAGGAACGATAAATTAGAACAACAAATATATGTTTCTTCTTGGAAGATTCGTAAATAGTTGAATATTTCAGATTTCGTAAAGTTTTTCCCAATATTTTGGAAACTATTTTCCTGTCTTAACAATAAAGGAATTTTAAAGAAAATTCTTTTTTCTATTAACAATTTACAATTTGTTTACAATTTTTAATTTGAGTAAATTTCAGTAAATTTTATTCTATTTTTAAAACAAGAGCAGGTGATTCGTAAAATTTGGTTTTCAGAGAAACGAAAAAGTTGGGGAGTTTTTCGGAATGTCGACTTTTGCTGGGCCTGTCGAAGAAATACCGGGCATATCAGTGGATTGTTTTGCAAATGAAAACCTTGAGTCTTCTGTTTATTTTCTAAGTCACGTTCATTCGGATCATATGAATGGTTTAGATAAATATTTTGTTGAAAACCTAGCACGATACAATAAGTTTCTATATTGTAGTGAAATTACAAAAATTGTTTTGACCTCAAAATTCGATTTAACCGAATCAACGAATATTAAAAGTTTCAGTCTCTCAAATCCAGTGATAATAGAATTTAAAAACAGAGAACGAAAAATATGCTATGTTACAGTAACGTTAATTCCCGCTGGACATTGTCCCGGATCTGTAATGTTTCTTTTTGAATATAATGGAAAAAAAATTCTCTACACGGGAGATTTTCGAATTAATTCCAATGATTTATCGAAAATAAAATCTTTGCACGACTATGACGGGAGAAATATGTATCCGTTGAAATTTGATAAAATTTATTTGGACACAACATTTTTGAACTTGAATTACTCTAATATTCCGACAAGAAAAGAGAGTGTCGAGGAAATAAAAAAGGCTGCTTCACAATGGTTGGAGCAAGATTCGAAAAACGTAGTTCTTTTGAAATTACCTTACACCTACGGGCTTGAATATGTTTTTCGGGAAATTTCCATTGCGCTAAAGAGAAAAATTCATGTTTTGGAGAGTGTACACGATGTCTATGGGCAAATTTCCGAGATTGCTCCTTACATTACCGGTGATGGTGAAAGTACCCCCTTGCATGCGTGTTTATCAGTGGGAGCTTATAGAAAAAATAAAAAATGCCTCCCATGTCGTTTGGATGTCGATGAGAGTAATATTTTATTAATTCATGTATCTGTTCTCAAATGGGGAGGTAAATTAGAGTCAAATACGATAACTGAATGGGATGAACTTGATAAAAGACAATTATCAGTCTGTTATTCCTCGCATGCGTCTTGCAATGAATTGAAATCGTTTTTACAGTATTTTTTGGCAAAAGAAATTTATCCTTGCGTTCTGCCTAAAAATCCACAAGAACACGATAGAGTGTATAATTTATTGTCTGAATTTACAAAAAGTAAAGAGCACGAAATAGTTTCTATTGTTAATCACGAGTTAAACTTTCTAAAATCGAGTTCTTCCACTGCTACTTTTAAATCAGAAATTTTTACCGATAGTGACTGATGACTATTTAATTATTTAATTTTAAAAATTTAGTTTTAGTTCAATTTTAAAAACTTAGTTTTATTACACTGACTATATTATAGTACACTATAATGTATTTCTATTTTTATACATATTGACAAAAAGTATTATAACTTGTTAACTTTTTAATTAGTTAAATAAATTTTTTAAAGAAAAAGTATATCAATATTATTATTATTATTGAGATTAAAAATATTGAATTACTATTATTATCAATATTATTATTATTCACTGCGCGTAAGTGTAAATTAATTAACAATGATTTAATATCAATAAAATTTCAAAACCAAAATAGAAATTCTGGGCGAAAAAATGTGAGTTCTATTTGTGCTTAAAATCTTTGTATCTTATTTTCCACTTATTGTTCTTTGTATCTTTGTTTCAGAATTTGTATTCTCGACCTCCAGATTTTAAATCTCGAATAATTTGAAAAATGTCTGCTACCGCATTGGCACAAGAAAAGGTTTGGGTGGAGAAACCATCGTACGACAAAGCTGAATGTCTGTTTCATGAAAGAGCTGCTAAGGTAATTTTCCGAAAATTAATTTTTAAAACGGAAATACAATTTTTGAAGCGGGAATTATATTCTAAATGCAATTTATCTTGAAATTAGATATAATTATTCTAAACATGGTGAAGGAAAAAATAATCAATTACAAACTACTTTTTTTTAGTAAAAAATCGAAATATTTGGAGTTTAAATTTTTTGGGAAAATTATTTTTCTATAATTGAATGTCTAAAGTCATAAATTTGGGATTAAAATTGTAGTGTTTCTTTAATTCTAACTTGCATCAATATTTTCTGTCTCTGTGATGTACTAACAATTACTAATATTTTATTAAACTCAGCTTTAGGGAATATCTGGTGGTTGGAAGTAATCAAGTGTATGTTACTAATCTTATTCTTGAAATCATACATATGTGAACTGTTGCATCATCATAATGAACTTGGAAAAACTAAATACTAAATATTTTTTTATCCTTTAAATCGGCCAAGTTCAGACAATGTTTATAATCCACAATTTGAAAGAAAAAATATTCTCCTATTTAAATTTTTATTTATTTTTCAATAATTTTTTGAGATCAGAAATTTTAAAAAGAAAAATTTATAAACAAAGTATTTTATTGTTTTTGTCAAGAAAAATATTCCTGAAATTTTTAATGTTCAAATGAAGGAAAATTTTCTATTTAAATAGTTTCAAAAATTTCTATACTCTAAAATGAAAAATAATGTAAATTAAATATTTTTTTAGTTATAACAATTTTTTTTTAATATTCAAAATAATAATCTATAATTAAATCATTGTATTTAAGTAAGCTGTTAGCAGTTTAAAGTTAGTTATTTGCTTTTTTGTTTTCTAATGTATAAAATAATTTTTCGTTTTGAATGTTTTCAGTTTTACAATTTATGTATTAAGAATCATTAAATTTTTAAGAAGAATTTAAACAAGAGCAGGGTGGCCACATGTCAGTTAAGTCAGTAAAGTCAGGGAAATGTCAGTGAAACAAAATTTTTGTCAGTAAAGTCAGGGAAATGTCAGGAAAAAAATTTTTTGTCAGTAAAGTCAGGGAAATGTCAGGAAAAAAATTTTTGTCAGGGAAGTTAAGAAAATTGGGAATTTTTTCGACTTTTCTTCCAAACATTTCAAGTATTTATTTACAATTTTTAAAAATCAATTTTTGAAGAATTTTAATTGCAAATTTTGAAAATAATTGAAATATTAAAAATTTTAATGAAAAATCTTTAAAGGTAAATTTAAAAATGAAAGTTAATGAAAATTAGCTTCTAATTTTTTATAATTCAATGTTTTCAGTATTTTCAATTACATAATTCCAAAAATTCAAATACATGCATACATACAAAAATAATAACATTTTAGAATTCTTTTTAACATTTTGGAGAATACAATCAAGTTCAAAATTTTTAATTAAAAAAAAAAAAATTAATTAGTTTTTTAAATTATACAAATTTTTTTTTAAGGAATTCAATTATTTTCGAAAAATTACATTAAAAGATTTTTAAAAACTAATTATTAGAATTGTTTTATAATAATTTTTTAAGATTCAATTATCTTCGAACAATGTAAATAAAAATTTATGAAAATTTACTTTTTGGAGTTATTAAAATTTTTGAGAAATTATGGTCTTGTTTATAATTAAAATTCTTCAAAAATTTGATAATTTTTATTTATATTTTTCAAAAATTCTATTATTTTTAAAAGATTTAACCAAATTTTAATTGTTTGGAAATATTTAAATTTAAATAATTGAATTCTAGAAGAAATTTTGGGAAATTATATAAATTAATTGATTCAGAGATGAAGTTTAGTTGAAAATTGTAAAAAATAATTGAATTCAGGAAGGGTTATAATTGTAATTTTTAGAAATTATTCAAATTCATAAATTTTACCCATTTTCCGTAAACATTCATATTTTCCTTTAAAAAGAATTTTGTCAGGGAAAGTAATTTTAATGTCAGTAAATTGTCAGGGAAATGTCAGGGAAATTGATAAACTGAAACTTGTGGCCACCCTGAAGAGATTTAAAAATAATTATTTTGAAGAATTTTATCAAAATTTTTGAAAATTATTGAATTCGTTTGAGAAATTTCATTCAAATTGTATTGAAAATAATTTAATTCTCGAGAAGAATTTTATTATTTATGAATTCTTGACACGAATTTTATTAATATTTTTGAAAATAATATAATTGTTTTGAAGAGTTTCTTCGAGTTTTTTGTAAATAATGAAGTTTTTCTTAACAATTTTAATTCAAAATTTTAAAAGTAATTGAATTTTATGAAAGATTTCTTTCAAGTTTTTAATTTAAATTTTCAATCAAATTAATTCTCAAATTTTTTTAACAATTTTAATTGAAAATTTTGTAGGTAATTGAATTTTATGAAAGATTTCTTTCAAGTTTTTAAAATAATTGGGTTTACTAATAATTGTAATTAATAATTTTATTATTAAATTTTTTTAAAATTATTGATAGAAAATTAAATTCTTTTGACCTATTTTATTAAATTTTTCGTAAATAATTAAATTTTTTTGAAGAATTTCTTTAATTTTTTTGAAAATATTTTTTTTTGATAATTTTAATTGAAAATTATGAAAACAATTAAATTTTACGAAAAATTTCTCTCTAATTTTTAAAAAAATCCTTTTTGTTAATAATTGTAAAATTAAAAATTTGATTATAGAATTTTGCGAATAATTTTTGGAACTAATTGCATTTTTTTCTAACAAATTTTTATCAAATTTTTAAAAGTAATTGAATCCTTTCATGAAATTTTATTAAAGTTGTATTAAAAATAATTGAATGAAATAAGTGATTTCCTTAAATTTTTAACCTGAAATTATTCAAAAATTAAAATTGATTTAGAAATAAAAAAATTGTGTAATTTGCATAATAATAATAAATTTAATTTCGCGTCTAACGTTTGCTAATTTTTATAATAAAATTAAAATTAAAAGGAGTAAAAAAAATATTCTCGTTCGTTTGAACGTTCGAATCTTTAGGAACATAAAAAAAATATTTGTTTTCCTTCAATTGTTAGTCATAAATGTTCTAAACTTGACCGACGTTCAAATTGTACAGTACTTAAAATAAACTCACTTTTTGATGTAAAATTTACTCGAAAAAAATAAAAAAATGACATATATTATTGAATAATATTTTAATAAAGAATTTAACTACTTTTAAATTTCACAATTGGTTTTTCCAAGTTCACTAGTAATATTCTAAGGGTACTAACAAAACTTGAATAAAAAAAACACTGCAGGGATTATATTAGTGAGTACTTTCGCAAAGAAACTCTTTGATATTTCCATAGCTTGGGACGTATTGCAAGAAGGTGTCTCGTAAGAATGCGGATCAGTGTTTGCTTAACCCTAATAACTGTTCACCTGCCGAGAATTCAAGTAATATAAATTCAAATAATCAATCTAAGTCGAAGCCTAAAAAAAATAAGGACAAAGTTTTGGACAATGTATCTAATGAAACTGCTCAAAATGTTAAGAACCAGAAAAAGAATTCTAAATCTAACGAGAAAAAAGATGAACCCATTTCAGAGAAGGAAGTGGTGGTTCAGGAAACAAAGCCAAAAGAACAGGAAATTACAATTTCCAATGTCAGTTCTAAGAAACTTAAACTTAAAGAAGCCAAAGAGAAAAAGAATAAGGCTGATAAAAAGAGCAGAAGTAAGGAGGATGATAAAATTCATTTACAAGAGTCCAAAGAAAAATTAGTCTCTCAGGTATACAATGTGTTGATGAATTTTGTGATTCATATCAAGTTTTTTTGGCAAAGTGCGCATTCATTCATTTTTTCTGGTTTTGCACGAAACTATTCCCATAAATGTTGTCCAATAATTGCATTTTATGCCTAATTTATTAGATTTTCGGAAAATTTGTACATTATTTTAATATTTTTGTTTTTTAATGTTTGCATTATTTTAAAAATTCTAATTGAGTTTTGAAAGTTTATTTAATTTAATCAAGTTTTTGGGACTTGATTGAGAAAAGAAAACAACACATTACCTGATACAGTGTCATACAGGCTTTTCTGTTAAATGTTTTTGAATTCTTCTACTGCATGATAAAAAAATCTACTGCTTACTTGCTTGATTTTCATGAAAACTAAAAATATCACATTTGTTCTGCATGTCTGTGTATTACTAATGTGTTGCATTAATGGACATTTTAATGTCTATTATAAATTAAATTGCGATTAATTTAAGATAACTTGCAAAATTTAATTTTAATTGAAATTAAAAAATTACAGTTTGTCTCGATGCTAATAATTTTTTTTCTTTTTACTCCTATAATTATTTCATATTGCAATCTTTCGCTATTCTTTAAATAATTTTTTCGCAGAGCATTCAAAGAAGTATTGAAACCAAAAAATAGTTTTTTAATAACAATATTTATTTTAAAAATTTCAATATTTTGTTTGAAGATTATTAATAAAAATCAGCATGAGTACAATTTTTTAATTTCAAAATTTCGTTACACATTTGTTAATCTTCACTGATAAATCAAATTATCAATTTATGAATTTCCGGCCTCGGATAGTATGAGTTTTTTTGGAATTTTTTGTTAAAATGGAACTTTCTCGACTTTTCTTCCATATTTTTCAAACATTTAACACTTTTTTGTATAAAACGCAATTTTTTCGATTTTCATAATTTAAAAAAATAACTATAGTAAAATCTTTTCCTGTAAAGAATCTAATCTTTTATTACACAAGTTTTTTAGTGGAAAAAATTGACTTTTTCTAAAAATTGACATTATTATTAATAAAAACAAAAATTTTACACCGAAAAATATTTATTTGATTCAATTGTATTTTAACCAATAATTTAAATATTTGAAGCAAATACAATTTAATTGATTAAAATAAAAATTATTTGATTTAAGTACCTAAATATTTTTTTTGATAATAGACAAGTAATCAATTATTTGAATCAAATAAAATTTGTTTCGGTGTAGAAAACTTAGTTTGGAATATTTTTCAAAATATATTTTTGACTTAGATTTGTTTTTACATTTTTATGAATTTTAATAACAAGAAAATTGCCAGAGGTCAGAAAAATCAGAGAATTTAGGAAATTTTATCAAAAGTAGTGAAAAAAAATTAAAGTTCTAAAAATGTCAGTTTGTAATTTTTATAAGAAAATTGAATATTTGTATTCAAATATGTATAACTGAATTCTCTCGAACTTTTGAATCTTTGAAAAATAAATAAGAATAATAATTTTGGAAAGAATTTTAATAGAGAATTCTAGAATATAATTGAATTTTGAAAGCAGTTATTAGAAATTATTAAATTTCAGTAGGTCTCAAATCAAAATTTTTTAATTATAATTAGTTTACTTTAATTAAAAATTCTAAACAATTAAATTTTTTTGAAAAATTTTAGTTCAAACTCTTTGTAAATTAATTCAATTTTTGAACACAAATTGTTTAATTAAAAAACTTTGAAATGGTCCACATTTTGTAATATTGAATTGAAAACAATTGAATTTTAGACGAATTTAAATTTACTTCTTTTCTAAATAATTAAACTCTGGAAAAAAATTTCGGAAAATATTTTATTGATTATTTAAATTGGTAAATGAAATAAAATGACTTTTTCGACTTTTTTTCTATGATTTATTTTGACTTTGAGCTTTAAAGTTGATCCGAGGCCTGTAATTTCTTGAAAAATAATTTTGAATTTTTGTTTTCAATTATTAAAAATTTTTCATTAAACATTAGTGAGAATATAACGATAAGTTTTAATCAGCTTGGTGTTAGTTTATCTTGAATTTCGGTAAATACAGGGAAATCAAGATGCTGCTTGCTTCAGCGTTTCTTCTAGTGGTGGAAATATAGTTGATGAAATCACCAAGGTTCAGCAGCACCTTGAAAAATCTTTACAATGTGTGAGTACTGCGCTTACTACTCACCCCTTTTTTTATTTTTCTTCTGAATTTACTAGCTTAGCTTATTAATTTGTATATTATTTCCTTAGAAAATTCTTCTTTTCGTTCTTCATTATTTCTATTCTTTTATTGCTATTTGCTTATTTCTCTTCTGTGGTTAAATTTTTTAACCTTTTCATTAAAAATAATATCTTTATTTTATTGATTAATAGTAATATTTTTATTTTATTAATTAAATAATTTATTTTATGTTATTTCATTTATTTACAATATTTTCAGAAAATTTTTTTTTTCGTCTCTTGCAGTCGAAGGGATATTTCAATAAAATTGTTATTATCATTTGCAGATGGTTGGAATCGAGGCAATGGCAAAAGTTCCATCAAGTGACAATGTCTCATCTCGTGTGACATTTCTTGAGAAAGAAAATGAAGAACTTAAAACTAGTATGTTTTAATACAATTTTTTAATATTTTTAAATATTTTTAAAAAATTTTTAATTGTTTATATATTTTTTTCTTTCAATTAATATTTTTTCGCTATATTATTATTTTTCCGATTTACAATATTTTAAGAGTATTTTATTTTGCTTATTTACAGGAATGCAAGAAATAGTGAAGCGCGTCGAGAAATTGGAGAAACGTGTGACAGATTTTGAAAAGTCACAAAACACAGTGAAGACAACTGTCCCTGTCGAAGTTTGTGTCCTGAAGGCTTCAAAGGTTGAAGAAAAAGAGGAGGAGGAGGATGACGTAGATCTATTTGGGTCTGATTCAGAGGCAAGTGGGAAAGCTAGAAATGTAACGTAGATTCATTAAATGTAATTTTGCAGTTATAGCAAAATTATTAATTTGAGATTATTGTTCGTGTCACATAAAGCACTAGGTCTGATATTGCTTGTTTGTTCTATTTTATATATTTATTATAGTGCACTCACTTTTACACTTTATTCGGATTGAAATATTAATTTCAATTTTTTATAGGATATAAGACAACATTTTTTACACCAGATATTCCCGAAATTAAAATTCAGACGATAGAATTTATATTCGATAATTTAATTTGTATATATAAATGATTTTTTTAAAAACGTACACTTTGTGATGAAATAAGTTTTAATATCCATTGCTTTCAAGAATTTTTGTTTTTTGTTTGAATATTTGTTTTACGAGGGGGCAAACTTTTCAGTTCTTAAACTATTAATTTAATATTTGATATCGTCAGGGCGAAGATGCAGAGGCTGCGAAAATCAGAGAGGAACGTCTCGCTGCTTACAATGCTAAAAAATCGAAGAGTAAGTTCTTTATTTTAGATTTTTGCAATATATTTTTAAAAATTGAGTTTCCATTAATTAATGATTGATTTTAGAACCAGCCCTCATTGCAAAGTCGAATATTATTATGGATGTCAAGCCCTGGGACGATGAGACGGACATGAAGGCAATGGAAACAGAAGTTCGGAAAATCGTGACCGATGGACTTCTCTGGGGAGCTGGTAAATATTTTTTATATTTGGAGATTTCACACTGATTTAAAATTTACAAAGATTGTATCATAAAATCAAAAAATTTCGATTGAATTGAATTCAGTAAACATTTTACTTTTCATTTTCAGCCAAGTTGGTACCTCTGGCCTATGGCATCCACAAACTCCAAATCTCCTGTGTCGTCGAAGATGACAAAGTCTCCATTGATTGGCTGACGGAACAAATCCAAGAAATCGAAGACTTCGTTCAAAGTGTGGACATTGCTGCCTTCAACAAAGTTTAACTTTCTCTCTACTCAAATCGTTTTTTTTTTTCTTAAAACTTTAGTCGTAACTGCGAAAGGGCTTTCGGTGCCATTTTTCATTCCACTAGCAATATCCATGCGAGAATAATCACTTAGTAAACTACCTACTCACCCCATTTGTGTGCAAAGAGCTCTTAGTGAGAAAAACGAATGAAAGGAAGAATACGACTATGGAAGGTGCTTTACTGCTCAAATTTATTCAGAATTAGTAAAAAGATAGATTATTATTATATTAGTCATGAAATCTGTGTGAGGGAAAAAAGAGTAATGTTTGCCGAATATTAATTGTAATAATTTAAGTGTTTAATTTATTTTTTGTCTTTATAGCTTAAGAATGTCTGAAAAACTCTTAAACTCAAATTTTATTATAGACGCATTTCATTTTTATGTGGAAAAAGAAAAAATCTGCTTGTTACAAACTGCAGAGAAATTGTTATTGTGAAACTATCGGATGTTCGACTATAAGTTTGCAAAAATGATCATTTTTGAATATAAATATTTTAGAGATTTTAATTTAATTAGAAGAAATGATCTTAATTTTTAACTAAACATACACTGATCTCAAGATACGATCAATTAAAATGTAAGAACACGGAATCATATTTTTATTAATTGAAATTTAAATGTAAATAGAACAAGTATAATCCGTCGATTTGTCCTATTCTTTACTGTAAAACAGCGTAAAAACTCGTGTTGCTACTGCAGTGGTTGTTAATTACGATTGAAACTAATAAATTAGCAAATGAATTTCACTGTGTTTTCTTTACGAAAAATCAAAAATTATTATTTTTAAAATCTTTTTACAAAAACTTTTAATTATAACAGACAAGCAAAGAAAAAATTAGTCTAAAATGTCAATATTTTGTATTTTAAAGGAAAAAAAAACATTAAATTTTAAATTCCTTTTGATGGAAGGGTAAAGAATTAAATTTTCAAAATTTTAAGCAATTATAAATTGCATGTGAATAAAAATTACAAATTCTTGTCCGGCAATAAAAAATATTTGTTAAGGTTCAGGTTAAGTTAAATAAATCATTGTTTATTGACGTTAATTACTAATAATTGTAATTATAATTCAAATACAACTTTAAATTAAATTCTCTACGTTTTTACTGAAACGAGTTTAAAATTTAATTAGCTTTTTTCTTATAAAAAACGAAATTATGACAGTGGACTAACATTCCAATTGTTTTCGAATTCTTCTTTACAAAGATTTTTATTGATTTTATTTATTTATTTTTATTGATAATTTAGGAAAATAAATATTTTTCGAATGGTCATTTAAGTTATTTATGTATTACGATTTTTAAATAAATATTTTATCTGAATTCTCAATAAGTATATTCTTTGTTTTAAAATTTGCGCTTCAAAATAATTCTTATACCAACAAAAAGAACCTAAATTAATTTTCAAATGCATTATTAAAGATAAAAATTAATACCAGTAGACTGAAATTGAGCATAATTAATATAATTCATTTAAAATTCTATGCCTTTTTTTAGAAAAATGATTATTTTATTAACTTTAAATAAGTGCACGTGGAAAAGATAATCGTTTTGTAGTGTTGGCAGCATTGAGCCTGTTTTGCGTTGAGAAAATAATGTAGAGGTTAGGTTAGATTCACGTTGCTTACAAAGTTGCAATATTTACTACTGTTGATTTCGTGCTTTATGTGTTAAATATTATTTATTTTCTTCCGTAAATTGTAAAAAAAATTGGTTATCAAGATGGCAATGGCAATGCTGCAACGTCGGGCCAATGTGAGTATTATAAAGAAAATTCATTTTGACAAGTAGTTTCAGAAATTTACATATACTCAAACAGTTTTGTCAATATAACCTAGTTGCAACTTACTGACGTATGAAAGTTGTAATATTTATGTTAATTTTATTATTAATTATTAATTTTAGGTAAGGTTGCCCCCAGAAGTAAATAGAATTCTCTACGTCAGAAATTTGCCATACAAAATCAGTGCCGAGGAAATGTATGACATTTTCGGAAAATACGGAGCCATTAGACAGATTAGAGTGTTAGTACATCTATTTATTAATAATTATTGTATTTTTTACGTTTTTTACGGACTTTAAAGAAAAAACAATGTTTAGTTTCAGAATTGTGTTTTTTATATAAGTAAATGAATCGTTATTTTTACAGAGGTAATACAGCAGAAACACGAGGCACAGCTTTTGTCGTGTACGAGGATATTTTTGATGCTAAAAATGCATGCGACCATTTGAGTGGTTTCAATGTTTGTAATAGGTATTTAGTAGTTTTGTACTACCAAAGTAATAAGGCATTCAAGAGGGTTGACTTGGACAAAAAGCAAGATGAACTAGAAAAACTAAAGACCAAATTCAATCTTGACGAGAAGAAATAAAACGGTGAGATATAACATTATTTTATTTTTCTTCCCAACTGACAGTGAGAAAATTAGTTTTTACGATTCAAATTTTAATATCATAGCAAATTCATTGATTTGTCTCATAAATCAATGAATTTGCATTTTTTAAGAAATAAAAGTTCGATTATATTTCTATAAATCTTTTTAAACAAATTTTAGATAATTTTAGAAATTTATGCATTTTTTTGAAAAGCATTTGAAAAGCTTGAGTAATAAAAGCATATTGAAAAGTATTTTATTTCGAGATACTTTTCCTTTTTGAATAATTATTTCTTTTTATTGCAAAATATTTTTGTATTAATTACTAATTTTAATTTTTAAAGTTCCTTGGTTTTAATTTTCATAAATGCAGCACTGACACATTTTTGTAGTTTAAACAAAAGATTACAAAGATTGTATTGTTAATATTAAAAAATATTCAGTTTTTTATCTTCGTTGGCGGTAGAGATAAATAGTATCTATATTACTGAAAACGACGTAAAGTTGTCAGCTTCCATTTTTGTAAAAAGAAACACAAAAACGGTTGAGTGCAAAAATGTCGGCGCATTAAGAGTCTGTAATTAAACGACTTTCACAGTTGCTTTCGTGGAATCGAGTATTCGTTGTAACTTACATGAGAAGCCCTCTTTTTTGACGAGTCGAATTCATTTCACTTTCTAATATTTTAAGAAATTATTTTTTTTCCTTCATTTTATTGCACTGAAATAAAATAAAATGAATTTATTTGATGTATTTTCAATTAAATTCTGATTAATAGGATAAAATTTTTTCATCAGTTTGTAATGAATTAAATAATACTAGTAACTGTTCATTATGAAGTTTCTTCAAATTATCTTTCAGCAAAAAGTAAAGTAGTTTCAGTCGATATTTACAAAGATAAATTTTTTTTTATGTCGTGTATAATCAAATTCATTTTTGAGGAAGTAATTTTTAAAAATTTGTAAATCTGTTTTTATAATTATTACTTAAGTAAATTGTAATAATTTACGATCGTAAAGTTCTGAACGTCCAAATGAAGGAAATTTATTTTTTTCTTCCTCAAATAAAATTTTTATTACAATAATTTTAAAGTGATAATAATTTGGTAAAGTTCACAACGTCTTTAATCAACAGTTTGTAAGGAAAACTATTTTTCGTCTTCAAATTTGTATAAATTTTTCTTTAGAAATGATTTACATACTTTCTCCATTTATAATTTAAAAAAGAATTACGTTTGTGAAGTTGACAAAGTTTATAATCAACGATTTAAGAGGAATAATATTTTTTTAAGCAAATTTTAATTCATTTTTCTATAGAAAATATTTTGGTTATTTTTTTGAAGAATAATTTACAAATGGAAATATTTGTGAACAAAAAATTTTATTCTTTTTGGTAAAAAAATAATTTTTTTCTTTCAATCGTTGATCATAAACGTTGCAAACTTCACCAACGTAAAGAATTTTTAAAACAAAAATTATATTGTTTTTCTCGTGAAATATTTTTTTCTTTCAATGGTGAACTTCACCGACATTCAGTAATTTTTAATTATAATTTTTAATAATATTATTTTATTTATTGTATGGAATTGTATTTATTTATTTTATGAATTTTTTTTGCAGTTTTTAACACGAAGGAAATCAACAACTGGGAAATCGGTTTCTCATCTCAAAATCGATATTCCATAGAAAAATAGGATCTTCAATTTGTCGGATAATTGGAGAAATTTCATGAGCGGTAAGCAACAATCAAGAGCGGAAGTTTATTGAATATATAGAATATAATTCCATTTCGTGACAAATTACAAGTGTATTAAGTTGAGACAGGCGCGTTTTCAGTCGGCCACCCACACAGAGGGACGAGTCGACGTTCTCGTGTGACTGCAGTGTTACTCGGTCGCCTCGTGGGGGAATTACGTTTTGCGACTGCTTTTTCTTCGCGTAAATAGCAAGCTGATCTTATCGATTGTTGTTTTCTTTTTTTTAACAAAGTATGAAAATTACGAACGAACGTGAATCGCATATAGATATACCAAATGTCATATGAGTGCTGTGGAGACGGCCATGCCGCAGGTGATGCATTTCAAACGTCATTGAGTGAATTCTTTAAAATAATTTTCGATTTTTTTCATAAATTCTGGACATACTTGGATTTTTCTTCTAATTTGTTGTTTGTTTCTTTACTGACGAGTACATTTGTTATTATTGTCGGTGTGAATTATTTTTTCTCGTCAAGTTGCTCGCTATTGGCTGACAATTGGTTGCTGCGCGATAGGTCGCGTGGCGACGAGACTCAGAAGCAGCAGACTATTTCACCGGGTCCCACGTTGGAAAGGGCTATGAATGATCTGGAGAAATGACGAGGGAGGAGGGAAAGGAGGGATTCGCCTGCTTTCTTGTTCGCATTTTTTTAAAAAGAGGTGGGTTTTAAAGTACATGTGTGCACTTCATGGAAACTAAATTGCTGCTTCAAAAGATAAATTGTATGGCTCATTGAAGTTTGAAATTGTGAGATAATTGTATTTTTCTTTCGTTAGGGTCGAATAGAATGTAAGCGGTCAGAAAAGAACTCTTTTAATATTTAGAAACTAGATAATAATCAATTTTTCTATGAGTGTAGAATTTTAGATGTACGACATCGGAAGGGACTAGATTTGTACAAAAAATTCTTTACATAAGAATATATTGTATATTTACAATGTAATAATACTTCCTCTATGAGGAAGAAATAATAAACATTCTACTTTGAAAATTTAACGTTTTTTACGATTTGAGGTTTTAATATTTTCAGAAATAAATAAGACTAAATAATAAATTTTCAGAAATAACAAATAGAAATCTATTTTGAAAATTTGAGATTTCAATTACAATAAAATTATTGAATTGCAATTAAAGAATAATTAAAGAATAATTTTTTAAAATTGGAAAACAATAAAATTAGTTTGACAATTCTTGTAGTAATTCTGCTTCGATTTACAATTTTAGTGATAAAGATAAATCAAAATAAATAATGTAAAAATTTTTATTTCTTAAAAAGTGACTTGAAAAATAATTATATAATTGGATAAAAGTTAAATTAGAGTAATGTCGTAATCTTTTGAAATAAAAGTCAGGATGACTCGGTGATTTATCTTCTGAACAAAATGTACAGTTTAAATTGCAGAACGAAATATATTTAACGCTAATCTAAATTTTTATGTACTTTAAATAATTAAATATTTATAAAAGAATCTTAATTTTGTATTTAAATTTAAATACACTCCTTTTTATAGTTATTATTGTGGGTTATCCAAAATAAATTAAAGTTAGCTTATTTTTAAGCTGAAAATAAATTCAGTTTAGTAAATTAATTAAGTTTTATACCTATTATTCTCTAAATTTTGAATTATATTGACAGTCCTCGGATATTATGACTTTTTTTGACTTTTTTTGACTTATTTTCAAAATTCGCGATTTTTTCAACTTTTCTTCCAAATTTTGCGACAAAATACCATATTTTTAGTATAAAATGCAACTTATTACGATTTTTACAGTATGAAAAGCATAACTAATAAACAAATCTATGAAAATTTATTTTTGAATAATTTTTCTAATTAAATTTTTGAAATATACAATTAAAAAGATTTTGAATAATGGAAATTTTGTAAAATTTCATTGAAAATAAATCATTTTTTCAAGTATTTTATTACAATTTTTGAAAACTAACTTTTAAAGAATTTTAATTGAAAATATTGGAAATAATTGAATTTTAAAAAATTTTAATGAATAATCTTCAAGTGTAAATTTAATAAAAATGAAAATTAATGAAAATTAGGTTCTAAAAATAATATTAAAATAGTTTAGAAAAAGTAATTGTCTGAATTATTTCGTTCTAATTTTTTTAAAATTCAATTATTTCCAATATTTTCGATATTCAATAGTTTCAATTATTCCGAAAATTCAAATACATACACAAAATAATAACATTAAAATTTTTTAGAATTATTTTTAACATTTTGGAGAAAATAATCATAATAATTTCAAAATTTTTAATTAAAATTTTTCAAAAAATTATTTTTTCTTTAAATTATAAAAAAATTCTTCAATTTTTGTTGAAAAATTACATTACACTATTTATAAAAAACTAATTCTTAGAATTGTTTTTTCATAGTTTTTTAAGATTCAATTACTTTCGAACAAACTAAATTAGAATTTTGAAAAATTTACTATTTTAGAATTTTTGAATAATTTTAACTATAATATATAATTAAAATTTTTCAAAAATTTGATTATTTTTTAAATATTTTTTAAAAACTCAATTAAAAGATTATATCAAATTTTAATTATTTTTCAAAGATTTTACTAGGATAAATTTAAAATACTTTTTAAAAAGATTTAATTTAATTTTTTTTATTAAAATAATTGAATTCTCGAAGAACTTTCGGAAAATTATTAAAAATCAATATAGATAATTGATTTGGAGATGAAGTTTAGTTAAAATTGTAGAAAATAATTGAATTTTTCGAAGGGTTATAGTTTTAATTTTTAGAAATAATTATTAAACTTCAGAAGTTGAAATTTTAAAAATATTATTTCCTGTGAAAAAAGAAATAAAAAGTATTTAAATATTTATTTAGCAAAATTATTCAAGTTTTGATTCATTGAATTTAGAAATCAGTGAAGAATCAGGGAAATACGAAATAAAATTTTTGTCACAACACTAAATTAAATAAACGACTTTTTCGACTTTTTTTCTTTTCTTAATCGACTAAAGCGACTTTTTTTTTGCTCGTTAAAGTCGATCCGAGGCCTGCATTATGTTTATCTGAAAATTGTCGCTGACAATATTTTAAAAAATTTTTTATGAGAATTTTTTTATTTTTTATGAGAATGATTAAAATTTTCTTACAAAGAAAATTCTTTGATTCTAAAAAATAACCGATTACAACTTGCCTATTAAAAATAATTTCGAAATAATTTAAAAATAATTTTTACTTAAGTCAATTTTAATTATTTATTATATAATATTTGTATTATTTGGTATTTGCTTCAAGTGCTGAAATTATTGGTTCAAATATACAATTTATTAGACTTGAATAAAATTTATTTGACTCAAGTAAATATTTCTTTGATAATAGGCAAGCAATCAGTTATTTGGATCTTTTTTTCAATATGCAATTCAAAATAACAATAATTTCTAAAAATACATTTAACGATAATAATTCATCTACGAGTTTTTTTACTTTTTATTGTTTATCTTTAGGGCTGATGCCCTGAAGATAAACAATAAAAAGTAAAAAAAAAACTTAAGAAGTTGCAAAAACTTGAAAAGTAAAAAAAACTTGTAGATGCGCAAACAATGAAAAGTGTGTTCTAATTAACTTGATGAGATTAAACGGGTTGAGAAAATGATTTATTCAATTGTTTATGTATAGATGAATTAGGATACATTAAGTTTAAACAAGATAAAATTAAAGCGTCATAAAGTTTGCATATAGGACAATTTCAAGGTTGAGTGGTGCGAGGCATAGGCTGTTGAAAAAGGAATGCATCTGTGTTTATGTTCTCGTAGTTGTGTTCAAATTGAACGTGCCGCTGCACATGCAAATTATAGCGCAACGTGATAGAGTATGTTTACTTTTTAGCTGGATCTCTTTATAACTAAAAGTGATTCATCGACCTTATTTCTCCGTTAAATTTATATTCACTTTAGGTGAATTTAAAAACTGGGTCATTCAAAACTGTCAAAGATCGAGAGTTGTCAAATTTCTTTTCTTATACATTAATGCAAAGAAATTTATTTGATGCAACCACTTTTTAACATCATCTCTCTAAATTTGGGTTGGTAAAAAATTGTTTGCTAATTTGAATCAGTGACCGATTTTTTGCTTTTGAATTAGTAAATTTTACCAATAAATAGTAATTTCTACTAATTTTAATTAAATTTATTTATTCAAAAGCAAAAAGTCAGTACATTAGTAGAAATTACTATTTAATTAGTAAAGTTTATTAATTTAAAAGCAAAAAGTCAGTAAATTAGTAGAAATTACTATTTATTAGTAAAATTTATTAATTTAAAAGCAAACCGTCAGTCACTAATTCGAATTAGTCGACAAAGCATAATTAGCAAAAATTATTTTCTATTTTTCGACTGCAATCATAAAAACAAAATATTTTCCTAAATGCGTTTTCAGTAAGTTAGAATTTTTTTGTGTTGAAAAAATTTGCTTCGAAATATCAGTGAAAAAAATTATATTAAATAATATAAAAAGATATATAAAAACTGTAATAATGGTATTACTTCTGAGGCATAGTTGCGCACAAGACGCCCACAGTCTCCAGGGGGCAAAGACGTCGAAATTGGCCTTGGCTGCTGCTTTCAGTTGTTTACTAAGTTCTCGGACTCTTCGATCGATTGTCCATCAGTTTTTTCTTCTTCAACAGTTTATTCTCCTTTACCTACTGCGCTTTTCTCTCAATGGCTCGCATTTTTTCTTCTTTTAATAAATTTTTAATTTTTAATTTCCGATTTCGAATTTATCAAATGCCGCATAGATTTTTCATTGAAAAGTAAATTTTTAAATCTAAAACTGGGTTAAGTCAATTATTTAGGACTTAAAATAATACAGTCAAGGCTAAAATTCAGTCAAAAATGTTTCTATGTAAAATAAACGGTTTTAGTCAAAATGTTTCTATGTAATCTGATCGGTTTTAGTCAAAAGTGGATTGAAAGTAAGATTTATTTTTTACAGTCTAATTTTATAATACGATTTTTAGTACGATTAGAACCTTAATTTAGTAAATATAAATCCTAACCAAAGAACATGTTTTAATGCACTATGTTTACAAAATCACAGGACTGAAAAAATCGGACATTCCAGAAAAACAATCAGTCAGTTTACTTTCATTTGCACGCGACGATATAAAGTACAGATAAGTATATGAACTTTATAAATATGTAAGCAGAATAAATTCAGTCAACCGTAACAAATACTGTACCAATATTGAGTTAAAGTTGAGAGTTGTCTAGATGAAGATCGTGAAAAATTAACGCATTCCGCCTAGAAGTTGTTCTAAACTTGATGACAGATATATTAATTGTAATAAAATTCAAAATTAGGCAATCGAATAGCCTGTCAGAGTAAAAGCATAGGGCCTGGCTTTTACATGGAATTCGTCTTAATCAGACATTTTTGATTAGCGAATTTGAATCGACAATATAAGACTTATGGAAATAGAAATAAATCTATTCACGTTGCTGTTGCAAGATCTAATCCGAACCGCTGACAGGATTTCGCGGTCTGCACCGGTCCAAACTTAAAGAATGTTGATAGTAATGCGCATATGGGACAAAAATATTTGTACAATCTTAATAGATTTTTATTTTCAATTTTTATTTTTAATTCATTTAAAAGAAAAACTCTTTCTAAATAAACATTCTAAAAAGACAACTAAAGAAAAAGTTTTATCAGGAAAAGACAACTATTTTCTGTGATAATTTCAAATTTAAAGACAGTTTTTCTAAAGATATCAAATTGAGACAATAAGTATCAAATTTGTTGCGTATTAAAAGAGATTATAAGCCAAATTCATTGGCTTATTATTGTGTATAGAAAATTATCAAATTACGAACAAAATTCTGATCATTTTCACTCTTATGTGTAAATCAATTTTGCTTATCTCTATTTTTCGTACATGTGAGTTCAGGGTCCAATTTTGATCTCTAAATGTTATTTTCAAGGAACTTATTGTAGTCAAACAAAATTTTCTTTT